CGGATGCTGCAGCCCCTTCGGTTGCTCAAGCGAGGTATAAAAGGTAGCTTGGGTAGTGTTCTGTATGATTTAAGGATTATCCGAAACCCTTGCATGGTAGCGGAGCCCTTGGTCTAGAAGGCCTTGGATTCTCCGCCAGCGGGTCGAACCGCGGTGGGCACCCAGCGGGCTAGCCCCGCGGGTGTAGCGCTTCATGGGCCAGCCCCGCAGGCGCTAGGAGGTGCGGATTGTCCCGCCCTCCTTCAGGGAAGCGGCTAGCATCGCTCTTTGTTGCCACCACGGCGGGTGGCAAGGGAGGCAAGGGCTCTAAGAAGGGCAAGCCTCCAGAGAAGAAGAAGAAAAATAAGCGGGGGACCAGGTCGGCTGAAGCGTCCGCCCGCCGCGGACACCGTGGACAGGCTAAGCGCCTGGCCTCCGCCCTTGATAGGGAGGAGGTCGAAGCGAGCGGAGACTCGGAAGCCGACGAGCCCAGGGGCCAGGGCTCGTCATCGGCAGCGGCCCCGCGGCGAGTGGTAATGACATACACCCAGGCCGAGGCAAAAGTTAAGGCCAAGGCGGAGGCCCGGAAGACGTCGATAAGGCTGGTTGAGGCCAAAGCCGCGGCCCAGCCAGAGAGGATCAAGTGGAAGAAGGAGCACAAAAGGCGCAGGAGGAGATCCCACGCTCCAAGGGTGACCCTCAAATCGGTTCCAAGGGAACCAGCTCCTATCCGACTTCGGTCGGTAGACCGACCGGTCCAAAGGGCCAGGAAGAGGTCGGGAGAACTTAAGGAGCTGCTGGAGGCAGCCAAGAAAGATTGGTCCAAGTGCAACTTCGAGGGCCGGCACAAGATCCAGGAGATATTGCGCACCAAGTTGCCGAGGGGCAGCATCGCCGAGTCCCTTCGGCGGATTAGTAGAGGCGCCGTGGGTTGAAGCGCTTCTCGGGACCAGAGCTGCGCAAAAGGGTCGAAGAAGCCCTGACCTGATCAGGAGGAAGAAGAGGAAAGCCCGGCGGATCCGGGCTCGGAGCCGGACTTCGATCCACCGGCAAGCCCGGATCGAAAGCCCGATGGCGATGGATCCGGCGCAGCTGTCGTAACAGCTTGCTGAGACAATAAATGCAGTGAGGGGACTGCAAGGGAGGCTGGAAAGCCAGGAGCAGGAGCTCCAAACATTGAGGGCCGAGAGGGTCCAAAACAGGCGACTCCCCACGGAGTCTGACCTGGAGCTCGGGCCGGTTCGGCCCCCACCTCAAAGGGCAGTGGCAGCCCTAGGCCCAGGCGGAGGCCTATAGGGGCCTGGCAGACGCCCGCCAATTGGGCAAGCCAGAGAAATTCTCTGGAGAGCCGGCGGCCTTTGAGGATTGGTCGTTTGTGCTGGAGGCCTATATGTGTTGCGTGAACCGTGGCTTCCAGGCGCTCTTTGAGTGCATCCGTTACTCCGATGTGCCGGTCCTCCAGGCCAGCCTCAGCCCAGGGGAGGCGGAGCTGTCGACACAGCTCTTTTATACCTTGGTAATGCTCCTCCAGGACCGGGCGCTGGACATAGCCCAGAACACAGACCTGGGCAGCGGCCTGGAGGTTTACAGGAAGCTGGTGAGTGAGTACCGGCCCCCGGTTGGCAAGCCGCTTCGTGGGACACTCAGCCAGCTTATGAGCCACAAGTTCACGGCCAGCCTCGAGGCCGAGATCCCCTTCTTCGAGAAGCTCGTGCGAAGGTACGAGGCCGAGACCGGCAAGCAGCTTGATGATACAATCAAGCTGGGGATCATTATCAATGGCCTCCAAGACGAGTCCCTCAAGCAGCACGTGGTGAGGAACTCAGCGAGGCTCAAGACATACCAGCTGCTCAAGGACGAGCTCTTGGAGGTGGCTCGAACGAGCCGAGTGCTGGCCGAGCAGCCGGTGCAGATGGACATGTCGGCCCTTCCAAAATGGAAGCAGAAGCCCCCAAAAGCGGGCAAGGATAATGCTGGGAAGGAAAAAGGGAACAAGGGCAAGGGAAAGGGCGGTAAGCAAGGTGATTCCCAAAAGCCCCAAGGTTCCCAAGGCGGGGGTCAAGGCCAAGGTAAAGGCAAGGAGGTTGTATATTGGTATTGTGAAAAGAAAGGACACACAAAGGCTGAGTGTAGGAAGAAGTAAGCCGATGATAAGAAGAAGGGTTCTAAGGGAAACGGCGGTAAGCCCCGTAAGCCTCATGCGGCAAGCCCCGCTGAGGAAGAGCCCGAGCCCATGCTTGCAAGCCCCACCTTGGCCGAGGAGCGCGACTACGTGGCGGCAGTGATACTGCCTCAGGAGGCCCAGGGTTTCAGGAATATTCTGGTTGATACGGGGGCAGGGTCGCATTTGTTTACTAAAGGGTTTGATACTTCGGCTCAACCTGTGGGTGGCTCCGCGGGAGCTAGAATGGTCACAGTGACCGGGGAGCCCCTAAGCACAGGCCAGAAGAAATGTAGTCGGCTCAAGACCTCGGATGGT